AAAACATGACTTTAGACTAGAAAATAAAATTGCAAGCATTCATTATCAAAAGCATACTGGCAAAGAAGTGTTAGAGAACAAGAATGCCTGATGATGCAATGTTTTTCATCCTGCGACTGAGCACAGAAAACCTTTTCATATGCCCTAAATCTGCAGCTACAATAAAGCCTTCATACAGACAATCTGCTTAAACAGAACGTCACGCTTGCCTTTATTTTATTTTAATTGCAAAACATTATCCAATTTCACTGCTCAAGTATGCACTTCTTAAGGCAATATGCGTAGCTTTATATTATCCTCCATTTTACTTGACGTCAATATCTGTTCAGTGATGAAATCATAAGCTCCTGAAGTGGCCCATCTATGACGCAACCGTTTCTCTTTTATGTGGTGGAATGCCCTCACCTCCTTTTCTTCCTACCAGGACTTATGTAATTTAAAAAGCCCTCTTTGCTCTGAGTCTTCTGGCTGGAATAGTCAGCATCATGGTCTCTTCAAACGTGTGAACTTGTTCCACCAAAACCAAAAGGAATTTTGCCACTAGGTGAGATGGAGCCGTGGGATTCTGGATATTTCAGATTTCTTATTGGCATTCACATACTATTTAGCCCCAAACAGTAGCACCACTCAAGTCATAGGCTGTTTCCTAACAGGGCTTGTGGTGATCTGTAAGTGGGGGTCTGCAGAATCATCCCCATTTCAAAGGAGGGAAAAGTGAGGCAGGAAGGGGGAGAAAGGGGTACTCAGTGCTGAGACAAGGACTGAGGTGTCCTGAATCCTTGTCAGTTCACCACCTACTGCACCTCCCCATTCTGACAATCCACATACTGAAGGTAATTAAATGCATATAAATCATAGAATCATAGAATGGCTTGGGTTGAAAAGGACCACAATGATCATCTCATTTCAACCCCCTGCTATGTGCGGGGTCACCATGCACTAGACCAGGCTGCCCAGAGCCACATCCAGCTGGGCCTTGAATGCCTCCAGGGATGGTGCATCTACAACCTCCTTGGGCAACCTGTTCCAGCGTGTTACCAACCTCTGTGTAAAAAACTTTCTGCTAATATCTAACCTAAACCTCCCCTGTCTCAGTTTGAAACCATTCCCCCTTGTCCTATCACTATAAATGATGACGGTGCCCAGGAATCTCTCAGGTAATGGCACAGTTATTCTCCAGGCTGCCCAGAGGTGTTACAGCATTTTTCCACTTCTTCGGGATAATAAGAGGAAAACGGAAAAAAAGGTTATCCTTTTTTTCCTCTTTCCCCAAAAATCATATGAGTTACAAACAGTAGGAATTGATTTTACAGTATGAAAGTTGCACAGCCATGGGAGCTCTAACAGTGTTAGAAGCAACTGCTATCATTCATTAGCACTAGAAACATCTTTGAAATGTAGAAAACACGGGCTCTGCGCTGCAGTTCCTGATAAGTTTCAATTTTCTTGCTACTATGATGGAAAGAGAGCCAAGATTTGATGAATGAAATTGAGACTCACCATGAAACAGAGCAATAGCTTTGATGAGCTGCCAGATTCCAGCAAAGGTGAATAAGAAAGAAAAAGGCATTTCTGAATAAAATGCCTTTCTCCTCTTCAGAAACAAATAATCGTCTTATAAATTACCTTCTTGAGTGAGAATCCATCCTTCGTGGAACAGGAGACGGACTGCAGAGCAGAGACAGTTGATGGATGTTAAAGACAAACTACCAGAAGACAAATGCATCTTGAGAAAACAGCATGAAGTTGTATTTTCAAGAATGACCACACATCATATTCGCACAGATGCCACTGGGGAGCCGAGTTGAGAAATGGAAGAGCTTTCAGATAATCTCTATCCTTTATGAAGCCAAAACCTCAACATCACTAACGCATCTTAACTCATTTTCAGAAGCCACACCCCTCACATTTGATGCTGTATCATGCGGATTGTTCATGCTTCACCAGAGGTTTCTCTTAAGAGGTTTAGTCACTGCAATGTACAGAATACATAAAAAACCCTCAGTACAATTAATATGTCAGATCAAAAGCTCACTATATTTGTGGAAATTGGCCTAAGAGAGGAATTTTAGAAGTGCTTGGTGTTGGTCTAACAGGTCTGCAGAAGTCAGTGGTAGAATGTTGAACAGCAGTGTGCACAGAGCAATATGTGTGCCTCTGCAGACCTGCCCTCCAACTAGACCAGGAACTGGAGTGTTTTGTTAGTGACTGTGAGTTCCAACTCGAGGTCCCAGCAGCATTTTTCTTTGAAATCTTCCAGCTGGCTTCTGCCCACTGCAACATTGGTGCTGGTCACAATTAAAGCAGGACAGAATAAAGACACTACCTGGTGGCACTACAGAAATGCAATTTGATGTAGTATTAGTAGGAAGAAAGCGCTGTGGGGCAGAAGACTTTCTTCTTGCCTCCCCAGGCTTGAAAAACAGATCTCACTGGGTTGTAAAAATAGATGTCTGTGGGTACTTTATTTTACTAAGAAAATCCAACAGTGCATAAAGTTGACATCTATCAGCTGCAATTGGGCACCTGCAAAGGAGCACCTGGATCTGAAACCCTAGAAGCAGGTGCCTTTAGCTGAATACTCAGTGGCACAGAAAAAGCCCACACCAAACCACAACAACACTGAAGCAATTAAAAAAAAAAAAAAAAAAAGAAAGAAAGAAAAGTAATAGGGTGTGGATGTGCAGAAATTAATCCAGTCCACTATACAAAGTTCAGGAGTATGGAAATGAAGTTTCACAATTGCAGACCTGTACGGTCCAGTTTCCTAAAGCCCAATGTCTATATCAGATCTCTTCAGCACGAGTGCTGGTTTCTCTGTCAGGAGTGGAGCTGTTGCACCAGCTCTATCTGATGGTAGCTCTGTAAGAGAGGTGAGGTGAACCTTCTGCAGATGTGCTGCTTGCCTCCTCGTGTTCATGGAACCCTGGAGGGATTGTGGACCAGGAACTACCGTTTGCCTTCAGTTTTGTTAGCTCAGGCTCATGGTGCACAGCTGTAGGGATGGGAATGGGCCAAGGGCATTGTGCCTGCTTCAGAGGCTCCTTCTCCAGGCTCATCACCCGATAGAGGATCTCCTGCAGACAGTGCTGCGCTGGGCACTCAGCACAGCCTCTGCTTCAGGCACAAACACAGGCAAAGAAGCAAGAAATGACTTTTTCCTGGCATGACCCACTACAGAATTGGACTGGGATGGCAATTAGAAGTTGAAGTGCACATTTAATGCCAGTGATGTGTAAACTACATTGCCATTGTTATTTTAGTGCTGATTTACATAATTGGCATAGTGGCACCCTGCTTGCACCTTGCTTGTGCCGAAGACTCACAGGAAGTCATAAAACTAAACATTATGTGCACTGAAATGCAATGGAAAAGTTACAAAACTTTTGAGGGCCTTTACCATGCCGTGTGTGCCCTGCAGCAGTGACAGTCAGGTGAAGAAGGCTGGGGAGCAGCTGGGCCAAAGCAGCTCTCCCGGCTCCACAGTGATGCTGGCACAGTGCTGGGAGTCCCGACTGGGCACGTCCCAGGGCACAGCTGCAGCTGAGGAGAAGGCAGGAGAAGGGACCTGTCCCAGTGCAAATGTTGTGTCGTGCCCTAAGTCAAGACGGAGGGAGAAGGCCACTCCCAAAGGAGGAGCTGGGAATGGAGGTGTCAGGGTTGTTACTGCTTTAGATTCTCATCTGCAGTATTTTAGGTTCGGCTATGGCTCCTCTGCAAACGAAGTCCCCGAGAGGCGTTTGTGACCTCATGGGCAGCAACCCGCACGGGGCCCCACACGCTGCGACGGCCCCGGCGGTAGGTGCCGCACAGCCGCGCGGAGGGGCCGCGTCCCACGCAGGCGGATGAAAGCCGGGGCAGAAGCCGCCCCCGAGCGCGGTGCCGCGCCGAGGCGCAGAGCGGCAGCGGGGAGCGGGCAGGTGCGGAACGGGGCCGCGGGAGGGGAGCGCCGCGCCGCCGCCACTGGGGGGCAGCCACGGCTCAGGAACGCGCCGCGGCCGCGCGGGCCGGGCCGGGGCCGGGGCACGGGGCAGCGTCCCGGGTGCTCCCGCCGCGCCCCGACGGCGGCAGAGCGGGGAGCGCGGCTCCCAACCCGGGGCCGGGCACCGCGGCGGTGCGGCTCGGGACGGGCGCGGCTCCTCGCTTCGGGAGCGCCGCCGTGGGGCTCGGGGTCGGGTCGCCTCGCGCGACCCAGCGCTCGGCCCCCGCGCGGGCGGGCGGGCGGACGAACGCACGCACGCACAGACGGACGGGCTGGAGGCCGCCGCGGCGCTGCCGGGCGAGGCAGGGAACGGGCGAGGGAGGAGGGAGAGAAGCGGCGAGGGAGGGAGAGAGGGAGGCGGCGTCTCCTTTAAAAGCCGTGCGGGGCCGCGGCCCGCTCCCACAGGGCGGCTGTGATTGGCGCGGGCCCGCGAGCCTCCGGGGTCGTGACATCGGCGCGCAACAAAAAGCCGCGGCGGCGTTCGGCCGCCCCCGTGCATGGTGCGGCGCGGGCGGGACGGGCGCGCGCTCACAGCGCTGTCCCCGGCGCTCCTCCGCGGTGCTCCACGCCCTCCGGAGGGTTGTGTTGTTTTTTAGTTTTTTTTTTTTTTGGTTCTTTTTTGTTTTTTTTTGTATTGTAGGTTTTTATTTCGTTCTCCTCCTTTCTTTTTTTTAAGGGAGCGGAGCAAAGCGAAGCCGAACTCCCCTCTTCATGTCGCTGCGGGACTCCCGGTAAATATCCGTCCGTCCGCTGCGGGTGATGCGAAGGACGCTCGCGAAAGGCGCCGTTCCGCTCCGTAACACATAGCACCCACTCTCGGGCGGGCACGCGCGCACCGAGAGGAGGACGAAAAGGAAACGCCGACTTTTCGACCGCCGCTTTCCGAAAGGAGAAGCCTTCCCCCGGCAGAAACCTTCCTTCTGCCTCCCGCCCCGCCGCCGAAGGCATGTTCCCGAGGCGCTCCGCACCGCGGGGAGCTCCCGCTTTCCGCACGGCAGCCGCAGAGGAGCAGCAGCAGCGCGGTTCGGAGTAACTCCAAGTGATGCGGGGACCACAGCCCGAGAGCAGCACGCGCTCCCGCAGACGCCAGCCCCGCCGCACTCAGGTACGGCCCCGCGGCCGCTGAACGCCGTCTCCGCAGGATGACTCCGTGCGCTCCGCAAGAGAGGGGGCACGGGACGCTGAGCGTGTAGCGATCCTTATCCCGCGCGGAGTTTCGCGGGGGAGAAGAGCGTCCCGCGGCTCTTGCTCGGGACGGAGCGCGATCGGCTCTTTTTTTTTTTTTTTTTGCTTTTTTTTTTTTTTTTTCTCCTCCTCTTTCCACGCCGGGAGAGAGGGGCCCTCCTTCTCCCTGCGCCCGGGGAAGCCGCGGCTGGAAAGCCGGCTCCGGGCCCCGCGCCGTGCACGGCCGGGAGGTCCCTCTCCCACCGCCCCGTCCCTCTCCACTCCCGTCCCCTCGGTGGGGGGCCGCCGCGGCGCACACCTGCGCCCGCCGAGGGCAGCGCTCCGGCCGCCCGCGCCCCTTCCCCTCGGCCCCCCGCGGCCCGGCTCGGCCCGCCCGGCTGCCTTTGATCCCCCGCCGCGGGGTTTTCGTGCCGCCGCGCACCTGAGCCCCGACGGGGCCCCCTCCGCGCCGTCCCGCGCGCCATGCGCCGGCAGCCACCTGCGGAGCGGCCCCGGCCGCCCCCCGCCTCGCGGCGCGCTCCCCCGGCGCGGTGCCCGCGCTGACCGCCTCCCATCGCCTCCTCCTCCGCGCAGGTCGACCATGGTTGCCGCCACCCGCTCCCTCCTGGCGCTGCTGCTCTGCCGGGTGCTGCTGGGCGGCGCGGCCGGCCTCATGCCGGAGGTGGGACGGCGGCGCTTCAGCGAGCCGGGCCGCGCCGCCTCGGCCGCGCAGCGCCCCGAGGACCTCCTGGGCGAGTTCGAGCTGCGCCTGCTCCACATGTTCGGGCTGAAGCGGCGGCCCAGCCCCGGCAAGGACGTCGTCATCCCTCCCTACATGTTGGACCTCTACCGCCTGCACGCCGGCCAGCAGCTGGGCTACCCGCTGGAGAGGGCCGCCAGCCGCGCCAACACCGTGCGCAGCTTCCACCACGAAGGTAGGGGCCGAGGGACGGGCGGAGGGAGCGGGAGGAGAGCGAGGGAGGGCCGGAGGAGGGGCGGCGGGGCGGGCTCCGCGCTTCGGAGGGGGTCGCGGGTGCGTTTCCAGAGCCCCCCGCGGGCTCCGGCGCTGCCGGCGGGAGGCTCTCGCCGCGCTCTGCCGGCCGCGAACGGGCTTTCTTCGGGCGAGGCGGAACGCCGAGGAAAGCGTCCCCCGAGCCGCAGCGAAGGTTCCTAATCCCTTATCTAAATCCCCGTGGGAGATGGGCGAAGCGGTCCGGCGCGGCCTTTCTCCGGCCGCCGTCGAGCGGGGGAGCGGCGGAGCCCGGAGCCGCGCCGCGCGCCCGGAGGTAACGCTCCGGCATGGGGCTCCGCCGCTGGCTGCCCGTCCGGGGAGCCGTTCCCGGCGAGCGGCTTCCACGGCCCAGATCGCTGCCGCGTGGAGCCCGCGGAGCCGTCGGTGCGCGCCGCTGCTGCGCTCTGCAGGAAACGTTTCCCCGGGATGTAACCTTCGCTGGCCGTAGTCTCTGGCGCTGGCACACGGCGGCTCTGCTTTAAAGGGAATGAAAAGGCGGTCGCCCCGCGCTCTTCAGGTGGAACTGTGCTAAGAAACGCGCTTGGACCTAATGGTTCTGCTGGACGGAGGTGGCCCCGGTGCCGTTTAGTGGGAAGTGAGATCAGTGGTGAAATGTAACTCTTGCTGTAGTGGGGAAATAAACAGTAGCGACGCGTGGCTCCTTCCCTGTAAGCCCGTTTGTGGCAAGCAAGGCGCTGAGCGGGACAGGAGCTGAGGGGCACAGAGTGTAACTTGTAGGCAGACGGAACGGTGTTGGAAGCAGTGGTGTTGCAACAAAGTCTTTGACATAGAAGCTGTCCTCCAGTTTTCACAAACTTGAGACGAAAATCACCGTGACTCCGTTTTTCCATTGAGTTCTCACTGTTGGTTCGTGACTTCATTAAAGCAGGAGGCTGTGCTGGGAGCGCTCACACATCTGCATATTTACAAACGCCGGGCTGGTCCCAAAGCGTTGCAAAGCTGAGCCCTGCCTGATGCGGGAAGTTGTGCTGGAGCCAGTAGGGAATGGCACAAGGCTAAGAACTGCTCACATCGGTGCCAGCTTCCCTTCAGAAAGTGAATGGATCCTCAGGATGCTGAGTAGCAAAAAAGAAAAACCAGGATTTCAGAGAGATTTCTGTGGGCAAACAGTATTCTACGCCTGCAGCAAAAACATACAGCCCTAGATATGTAGTACTTCCCCTAAAGTTCCACTCCCGTGTCTGTTGGCTGAAAGGGGAAGATGGTACGGGGCTTAGGGGTTGGGTTGGTTGTTAAAAACGCGTTGTTCCCTTATCCCTTCAGCATCCATCCATTCTAGCAGCTAGACCCATTCTCACAGTCCTTTGGATCGCATACTGAGGTGTGCTTGTAAAGTGCCCTTACAGATGTTGAGATCGCTGCCTCTAGTTAACATATGCAAATCCCTGCATTAAGATTCAGTAAGTTGCTGAAATTATGGAGTACTGTATTTCAGAGTGGAGCTTAAGAGATTGATGCTTGAGCCATATTCTTGAAAAATGCAGAAAAGCAGCAATTCCCCTTAAATCCTCAGTCGGTTTTAATGATTCTCATCGGACCTCTGCTAACTGTAGTGCTCGAGTTTTCTCACTGGTATCCTTGAATTCCAACGTGATGCTTCATGTTTCTCAGCACTCGTAATGACTACCTGGAATGCAGAGAGCACCGGTATTCCATCAAAGTGCATGACAATGAATGAAGCGTTCTTAACTTCATGCTATACGTGCTTGCGTAAATAAACAGAAGGATGAGGGCGGCTGTGCTTTCTGCCTGGAAGTCTTTCAGGTCTTGTTTGTCGCATGCCAGCAGCACGTATCTGAGGGGTTTGGTTGCTTGTCTCAGTTCCTAACTTTTTTTTCTCTCTCCCTCTGCTCCCTGCCCCCTTCCCTGCCCCCCCTCCTGTTTAATCAAATTAGAAGTTTTGGAAGAACTGCCAGAAACAAGTGGGAAAACAGCACGACGTTTCTTCTTTAATTTAACTTCCATCCCTAATGAGGAGTCTATCACCTCAGCTGAACTCCAGATTTTTCGGGAGCAGGTGCACGAAGCCTTTGAGAGCAACAGCAGCTACCATCACCGTATTAATATTTATGAAATTATAAAACCAGCCACAGCCACCTCTAAGGACCCTGTCACAAGACTTTTGGACACCAGGTTGGTGCATCATAATGCGAGTAAATGGGAAAGTTTTGATGTAACGCCAGCTGTTTTGAGGTGGATTGCACACGGACAACCTAATCATGGGTTTGTGGTGGAGGTGGTTCACTTGGACAAAGAGAACAGTGCCTCCAAGAGGCACGTTAGGATTAGCAGGTCTTTACATCAGGACGAAGATAGCTGGTCTCAGCTCAGGCCGTTGTTAGTGACGTTTGGGCATGATGGCAAGGGACACCCGCTTCATAAAAGAGAAAAGCGTCAAGCGAAACACAAACAGCGTAAACGCCACAAATACAGTTGCAAAAGGCATCCGTTGTATGTGGACTTCAATGACGTGGGGTGGAATGACTGGATTGTTGCCCCGCCAGGGTATAGTGCCTTTTACTGCCATGGGGAATGTCCTTTTCCGCTGGCAGATCACCTAAACTCAACAAACCATGCCATTGTTCAGACTTTGGTCAATTCAGTGAATTCCAAAATCCCCAAGGCTTGCTGTGTGCCGACAGAACTGAGTGCTATTTCAATGCTCTACCTTGACGAGAACGAAAAAGTTGTACTAAAGAACTATCAAGATATGGTTGTGGAGGGTTGTGGGTGCCGCTAACACAGCGAATATATCGGACAAATGCAAAAAAAAAAAAAAAAAAAAAAAAAAAAAAAGCTGACACTTTAATATTTCCCAATGAAGACTTTATTTATGTAATGAAATGGAAAGAAAAAAAAAACACAACTATTTTGAAAATATATTTATGTCTACGGAAAGGTTGGGAAAACAAATATTTTAATCAGAGAAATATTCCTTTAAAGATTTTAAATGTATTTTAGTTGTACATTTTATATGGGTTTAACCCCCAGCACATGAAGTATAATGGTCAGATTCTTATTTTGTATTTATTTACTATTATAACCACTTTTTAGAAGAATAGCTAATTTGTATTTATATGTAATCAAAAAGAAAAAAAAATATAGGGTTTGTACATAATTTTTCAAAATTGTAGCTGTTTCAATCGCGTGTATTTAAGTTGAAGAGGAGACACGGAAGGTTACCATGGCAAAGTGCATAGCACATTTGCTTTCTGCAGTGCTACTGTTAAGGTCACAAGTTCAAGTCCAGAAAAAAGTGGATAATCCACTCTGCTGACTTTCAAGATTATTATATTGTACAATTCTCAGGAATGCTGCAGGGTGGGCTGTCCAATCCATGAGAACTGGCATCCTCCTTAGGTGGAACATTTGGATAAGAACCAGACGTTGCTGATCTAGTATAAATACTACTATTCCTGACTAATTTGCAGAGTGAATATAAGAAGGGCCAATAGAAATCCCAGGGGAGGTGGGGGTGGGGGAAGAGCAAATCCTTTCTAGACCTACAGAAAAGCGAATGTTTGATGTTTCCTTTAAAAGTCCTTCCTTTAAAAGTTCTGGCCAAATATAAAATAATAAAAACTCAAATGTCATCTTTTTTTTTTTTTTTTTGTGATTATATATGCTGAAGAGGAATAATTATCTTATTTGTACTGGCCCTTGTCTTTAACAGTTGGATAAGTGTTGGGTACTTCTTCACCTCAGGTGGGAGCTCACTTCTTGGAGTGTAACAGTGAAATTGTCAATTTTTCGTGCTTCATACAGCAAGTTGTTACTTGAGCAGCCTCCCATCTAACCTTGGATGGTGGTTTTGTAGTTTTACAGATTAGCTTCTCTTCCTTCGTGGGGTTTTGTTTGAAAGCTTTTTCTCTTCTTTCCCAAGATGTTTGGATCTCTTTCAGATAATAAATCATGGAACTCTGCTATTTCTCTCTGGAAAAATCCAGTCTGTAAGAAAACACGGTTCACTCATCCAGCCATCACAGGAGCAGCAACCTGTGCTTACATCATTTAACTTTCTAAATTTATTGTGTAAGGGACAAGAGCGTGACTTGCAGTTGGTAATCTCAGCATTACAGCTGATGCTTCTCGTGCTGTTGTATGTTAGAAGACTGGCGTGGCAGTCAGCGTATGGGTTGTGGAACATGAGGTGAGCCTACAGAGGCTGGGTTGCTTGTTACATGAAAGCTATGCTGAAATAGTATGGCAGGAAAGTGGCTTCTTTTGGCTTCTTGGTAATCCACTGCAAAGCTAGGAGCAGAGGGAAGTTGTGTTAGACCACCTGTAGTCTTAGGAGCTCCCTGCTGTATTTGATGAAGATAGGGTGGCTCTGTGCTGATGCATTGGAGATGTCTGAGCCCCCTTGCACTCCTTTGTGCCCCATTGAATGGAACAATTTGGATAAGTGAGGCAGCATGTCCTAAAGCCACACGTACAGTTATCCCATTAGAGACCTCCCCAGGTCCGCTCAGGAAATCTGATTCTGGCCTGCTGTTAGTATAACGCATTACTAACAACAATCTTCTGTTTTGCATGGCCTTCCCCAAGCTCCTGCTTGTTGCCAGCATCTTCTGGGTTACAGCTGCTCAGGAAAACTGACCTAATGATATCTTACAGGTAGTCTTACAGAGAAGTATGCTTCCTCTGTGCTTATTGTAAAAAGCAATGGGGGAGAGGATGGGAGAGAAAAACTGATCTAACTTCTTGTTGGCTGTTTCCATTTTCATCTTGTGAGCTAAAAATGTATTAGGCAAGCTGTAAGCTTCTGTGGTGAGATTAAAACCTTGGTATGTTCTTTGTACCACTGATATTCTTAATAACCAGGAGAGAACAATCTACTGCTCTGCAGTTTGGCTCTGTTATTTTTGCGTTATACTGGTCATGCTGGTATTACATAGTAGTCTGCAGTTTTGCTGGGTGGACAACCCCTCATTCTTTTTTCAAGAGACGAGTGCTGTTTTGTTGGCCTTTTTCTCGTTTTTGAGGCTGGGAATCTTTGCAGAATTGTGGTTCGCCTTTCCTCTGCTTGGAAGGGCATGCCTGTTTTACTGAGAGGTGACGGTGGTTGTTTTGGAAAGGTTATCAGTCAGCATGTGCCACAGTGCTGCAAGAACTCAGCAATCACTTGAGATGGATGGCGGTGCCAGTTAGGTCACGGTAGCACTAGCATGTTCTGTAACTTAGGTTTGCAAAAGCTGAACATAAAGTGCTGAAAAATGGATTGCACCACTTCTATGAGCAGAAAAGATGATCCCAAACCTGCTGCAATCAGTGAAGACCCTACGGCACGTCTAACCAGATCCTAAGCTCCAGTATTGCCAGGCTTAAGTTTCACAGCTCCTAGCCCATTGTGTGTAACTAGATTTAGGGAGGCTTTTTCCAGAGAGGTGACTGCTTTAGATCTCCTCGAGGGCACGAGAATGCATTGATGCTAATCTTTTTAAAAAAAAAAAAAACAACAAACAAACAAAACTTGGCTTTGGTGCTTGTCTATGCAAGAGCAGTAGTGGTTCGTGGCATGGTGCTGCATTCCTTGTGAAGGCAAACTTCTAGTTGCTTGACAAAGAACTGCATAGTTAATAAAACTCATGGTGAGGTCAATGTGTAGTTGTAAACACAGCAAGAACCACTCCTGTAAGAGCTTGCTTCTCTGTCACAGAACTTCCTTACTGATTTTGAGGAGGAAATATGCATGCACCAAGCTCAACAAGTCAATGCATTTCTATAGAATTGGTTTCAAAGTGTGTCTTCTTAAGTTCTTGATCTTAAATTCTCTGAATTGGATACGTGTGAGTGCTGTGCTGAGTAATTTGTTTAGGATTTTTATAAAGAAGGAAACAAAACAGAGACTGTCCTATGTGAATAGTAGAAAAATCTTACAGAACAGTCGTGTTCCTAAACTCTTAAGTGTTGGTAATCAGACAGCCCTTCTGAAACATGGGTTTTCTGACGTCTTCTCAATCCAGTAATGACTTCTAAATAATCCTAAATACTGGAAGTATGCTGTTACCACCATATTTTAGTACTTATTGTAGTTCATTAGTACTAATTAGTGTTATAGTGCTCTACAAGAAGAAATTAGCTTCCCCCCACTTCCCTTTGCTTGAGAAAAAGCAGAAGATGAAGAAGGTGAATTTCTCTTTGTCACCCTAAAGTCTATTTCCCCTCAACATAATGCTTCTAGGTGCTTGCATATAATCTATATAGGGAGAGATTGTGATAGATAATGTCACCATTTGTGCATTTCAGATAAGCATCTCTCTAAACACAAATGTGATCAGCATCTCTCCTTGTCCTTTTGAGAATCAGTAACAGCTTTGTCGAGTGGCTGGATAATTTTTGCGCAAAATTCGGTTGGACTTCTGTGCTCAGCAACGTGTAAAAATGATGTGGGAAGGCCTTCAGTTGAGGTGAGCTCTCCAGAGAGCATTGGCTGTTTTCATCCAGCAGGGATCTGTTCTGCTGTGCTAATCTGGGCTCACTGTAATCAGACACTAAGACCTGTCTTTTCCTATGACCGTGAGGTTTGGGTGTCTGCAGGCTGTCACCTGCTCTCTCCCTTGCTGGGCAGTGAGGGGTCTTCCATTGGTGCAGTCGGCAGTGATGGGGCATAGAGAGGAACACTGCTTGCTGTGCTCTTGGCTTTGAAGATGGAGTCTATCTGGATGGCATTTATAGTAGGCCCACTTTGCTACCCTATTCGAAGAGGATAATTATTGAACTATTTTATTATATAGCTATTCCCAAATTGTTGATTTTTTTTTAATTGATTTCAGGAGGCAGCTAATTGCCATATGGCAGCTTGATGTTAATGTTTTATGAAGATCAGGAAACAAAAGTTTATGAAAAGCTTTTGTATAGTAACTGCAGAGTTTCAAGAACTGTTTTATACTTCCTGACAGTGCAGGTCTGGCTTAATGGTTTGTTTTTATTGCTTAAGAGTGTAAACTTTTCTTTAGCCAATGTGTGGAAATTATATCCTCATCCCGCATTACACATTTCTCATTACTCATTCCCTGCTTTCATTTCTGCCATCTGTAATCAGAGCTTTACTGTTTCAACTGCATGCGAAATGCTCCTATCCTGTGCACAGCAAGTTACTTTCCTTCACTTGCACCCACCCCTACAAAAGAAGGAAAAAAAAAAAGTAAAAAAAAAAAAAAAAAAAGTGGGGGAAAGGCCTACTTGGTCTATATTGTTTTTCTCTGTTTTGGGTGGAGTCTGTCTTAGATTCTGGTTGCTAGATGGTTTCTGTAGTAACCAGCAGAAAAAAAAATTCAAGACTGAAAAGGCACTTTTAAAGGTGCCATATCTTGCCTGGAGTATTATTTATCTCATTATGGGCATGGAATATTTCTCTTCTCCTTTATGTTAAGGCTTCCTTTCCCTTCTTGGTAGGATGCACTGCTGCCATGGAGAACTTGATTTGTTGTGATCTTGCCATACGAGAATGTGAGGATTGCAAGTCCTATTCCCAGTTGACTTAAGCTGCTCAAAATAAGGATGAGAAGCCAAAGGCATTAAAAAGTATTTTAAATGTTATAAGTGATTGTTACTGGCACAAACCACTTTATTCTTTAGTTATATAGGGAGGAAAAAAAGCAGCTAGGTTCAGAAGGACCCTTAGAGTTTACATGGCTGCTGTGAGAGGGTGTTGCGTAGGAGCGGTCTTCTATTTTGCCAAGCTACTGTGTAGAAAGAAAAAAACACAGCTCCTTCAGAATATATTTTTACTCTGCTGTACTTCAAAGGTGGTTTTTGTTGTTGTTGTAAAATTTCTGGGGAGAAGTAAACAGGTGTATGAGAAAGTAACCATTTGCATCTACTACGTTGGACTTGCTTGGGCACAAAAAGGATGCAAAAAATTATGGTGAGATTGGATCTTTCCTGCCTCAGCAGCGCTAATCCTTCATCAGCCGTACTGCTGACAGCTTTGTCTGCAGCAACCAGGGTTTCCTGAGGTGGAATTCCTCTTCTCTTTGAGATCTAGTCTCCTGTCAGTGCCCTCTGGGATCTAGCAACATCCAGGCCACAAGCCTTGTGCCAGGGCTGCTCAGCAAAGTGGGTGCACTGGTTTTTTGTCCTGTTTCCATGTTCTTTGCAGCGGCAGATTTGTCCCTGCCTTCAGCAAGAATCCTAGTTCAGGAAGTCTTCAGGTTCACACCTGTTGTGTGCAGCAGGAGACACCTTGGAGCGCTGGGGACCATGTTTGTGACTTGCCAGAAGTCTGAGGGCCAAGGGCCATTTATACCTGTATTTACATAGTGCTCCAAAGGCACACAGCTCTCATACCTGCCCAGGCTTGCATTTCCCTCAGTAGATGAACGGAGGCTGGGAGCTGTTGGACTTCTCCAGAGGCATGGAGCTTGCAGTGGGTCAGCTGGGTTCTCTCATCATGCAGGGTACTGACAAGCAAGCTGTAGTTCTGCTCTTCAAATTTCATATTCTGCATATTTGGCTGCTAGCAGAAAAACCAGAGTAGGTTAGGGCAGCAGTTGGCTTAACTCCAGGAAAGAGCAGATTTCTGACTTCTTAGTTTGCAAAAAGGCAAAGGTTTTTTCTGGAAAGTAGTGATGAGCAAGGGAAGTGGGGAAGGACCTACAGATTTTTTGAAGCTGAAAGTGTTAAAAGTTTGTATGTGACTTCAGGTAGAGAGATCAGAGCAGTGAATTGATAACATTCTGAAAGTTCAGGTTCCCACAACAAATGGACTGTGGCAGACTTACAATTTAATGAGGCTGATAATCCCATTAGAGATTAAATTAAGAAGGTCTTTTTGGGAGATCACCAAGGAAATGATGAATACTGTACTGTAGCTTGGGTTGCAGTGCCAAGCGATGGAGAGCTGACATGTACTTCTTGCACTGCAAGGTACTGTTTTGTTCGGCGTGTCTCATTAAAACAAAGCATTCAACTCCAGCTCTACAAACAGAGGCAAATATACTATTACTAGCATCATCCTGGAAATAACATGCAGATTAAAAGATGGAAATATAAGCAGATCTGCACATTAGCAAAGCTCTGAGTTCATTCTCAGGCAATCTGGTCCTTTTTATTAAAGCAAAGCTTCAGAAGACAGGGAGAGCACATATGAAAAAGAATACATTTCAGGTAACTATTGTTGTAACTCCATTAGCTTGGAACTTCCACAAAAACCATTTTTTTTTTAGCAACCTGCACACCCCAGTGATGGGAAAGAGTTGTACAGAATAATGACGCTGTAACCACAGACTTCAAAAGTATAGAATGTCTGCGGCGTGATGGAAATAGCTGTTTCCACATCAATAATATACACGCAGAGTATTGAAGCTTAATTGTGAGGCTGGTGGTGATGGGAGGGGGAAGGAGAGAGGATATCTGACTGACCGCACCAAACACGTGGGCTGAGCAGAATGCCTCTGCTTTGCAGCCAGAAACAATGATTCATTTCATTATAATCTTGACTTCTGCATTTTTCTCATGACTTATTGATAACTTCGTATGGGACTTAATGGAATTATTGACTTAGGAATTAGGTCCCATTGACTTAGGAGTTAGGAAGAGAGACAGGGTGTATACTATTTCTTATAAACATCACTCACTGGCAGTTGTTTCACACTATTCTATTTTAAGGGCAATTTTGGCAGATTTTTTTTTCTGATTGTATTCTCTCTCTTTTGTTCAATGAAAAGATCTTGTGCTTAAAACCAGGCTTGCACTTCTAATAGTCCATCTTCTTTGTCACTTTCACAGGAAGTCCTGATTCTCTAGTTGAGATTGTAGTATTGACATGAAAGTAGTTCTGATGTCATGAACTGCTGCTGTTGAACTGGGTCCTAATGCACACAAAGGCCCTTTGCCCTGCCCTGGCACTGTAAACTAGAGGTACACCTAATAGCTTTCAGTGAAAGATGAACAGCTTTTGCTCTGCAAAACATTATTGGCATTACTGATACTCTGTTATATTTACTGTTAAAGACCCAGGTATTGCAATGGCAGATGTCTTTTTTTTTAGGTACCTCTTTCACTGTACAGGTACTGGCATCTTGCAGGCTTACTTTAAAACTTTCAGTGCTCGAGTCTCAGGTACGCCATGGAACTTGAGTTCCTTAAAAAGAAAATTTCCTCATCCTCTGGGGAAAAAGTTTCAAAATATCACCTTGAGATTTAAAAATTGGAAGAAAATGGAATTGGTGCTTTCCCTTTCTTAACCACTGGTATTTTTAAAATACATCAACATTGTTTATTATTTAAGATTTGCAATAACGTGTGTTCTAGATGGTGTTCTTTTAACTGATTCATTCTTCTGATTCATTTTTCCTATTCTGATGAGTTTTTCATTTTTATTCTTTAAGGAAAGAATTTGCTAACTACTTCTTGACGGGTTGTGTAAAGAATTGTCCTAGGTTCGCAAATGAAAAAGTTCATATCTTTTGAAAATATAACCTAAATGTACCCTAGAG